ATCCAGGGATGGTGATGGTGGTATCTGGCGCATTGCGTGTAAGGCATGATTCTGTGAGTATGACTATGTCAGGCTGTTGCTTGACTAGTCTGTGAGACAGCTCTCCCAATTTTGGCACTAATCCCCAGATGTTAGTGAGGAGGACTTTGCAGGGTTGACAGGGCTGTTTCTGCCGTTGCCTTTTCCGGTGCCTAGGTCGATGCTAGGTGATTCGTCCAGTTCCATTTCTTTGAGTCTTTGTAGCGATTGATACAGCTGAGTGGCTTGCTAGGCCATTTCAGAGGGCGGTTGAGAGTCAATCACATTGCTATGGGTCTGGAGTCACATGTAGGCCAGACCAGGTGAAGGTGGCAGATTTCCTCCCCTGAAGGACATTAATCCAGCTGCACAGCACTCCAGACGCTGTAAACCAGAAACCACATCCCAGACTATGGTGCTCAACTGTGCCAATCTCTCAAAGAAAAGGCAAGAAAAGAAACTATACAACGCAAATTCCTGACATGTAAATCAGAGTGGGTGCCTGGCAGCTACAGCTCGCCAAGTGTCTGTCCTGGCCACCGTGCTGCCACTTACAATGGGCAACATCCTTACATGGTCCATGGCGAGTGCCCTCCGTCACCTTCCATCCACATTGGCAAACCGTCATCCTCACAAAAATCATCGTGCCCACTCTCAGATCAATTCAGACACCACTTCAGGTCTTCAACACTTTAGTCTGGAGCTAATGGACATTATGACTTGCTTCTGCTAGGTTGCTTTGTGCTTGGGGACACCTGCATCTTACAGCTATCAGCTCTCTAAACACTGACTCCCTTTGGTGTTTACTTAGAGGCTGCCAGACTCTAACTCACTGACCTTAGCACTGAGTTACAGGCTGCCAGCTACTGCTTGCTTTTTAATGCAAAGGGACAGCTTGTGGTGGTGGGGAGACCTTGTGCAGACATTCTGCGAGTTGTAGTCCATGCGCATTGGTGATATGTATGTACTGGGGCAGAGTTAGAGGGAGTGCTGTCCCTGTAAGTGTAGAGAGTGCAGAAGATTGTGGACCTACTTGTGGCACTACTGGGAGTCCTTGCTGGAAATGGAGTTAGTTTACCTTTCCTTTGAGAGATTGTCACAGTTGAGCACCATAGTCTGGGATGTGGTTCCGGGCTTACAGCGTCTGGAGTGCTGTGCAGCTGGATTTTAAATATGAAGCCAGAGGCAGGTAAACCAGAAGGTTTGGCCAGTGACTTCCCTCTGTCTGTAAAGGCTATTCCCTGAGAAACAAGCCGCATAGCTCGGTTGCATAATTAGCTTGCATGAGAAAATTTGCCCCGTGCCATAGAGGACACAATGAAACCTCAACAACACATTTTAAAGGCAAATAGCTTTCTTAGGACCCTGGTGGAGTTATTGCTCCCTAGCAGTTCTTTCCACACAAGCATATGAGATAGACATCATCATGCTGTCATCAACATCAGTGCACATAATGTTAATGCTGACGCCATGATTCGACATTGCCCCACAAGTCTTTAACCCCCTTATGAGCATAATATGAATATCTCCCCAAGAATTCCCCATTTTCTCAGACATAAAGACATAGAGCTCTCTCTCACTGGGCCAGGCACACAGATACGGAGTGCTCTCCCTGGGCCAGGACACACAGACACAAAGCCCTGTCTTTGGATCAGGGACATACAGACACAGAGTGCTCTCCCTGGGCCAGACACACAGACACAGAGCTCTTTCCCTGGGCCACACAGACAGTCACAACACCCTGTTTCTCTGGGACAGCCACACAGACACAGAGCCCTCTCTCTGGGCCAGACACTAAGCCCTCTCTCTGGAGCAGGGTACAGACCTACAGCCCTCTCTCTCTGGGTCAGACAAATAGACACAAAGCTCTGTCTCCTGGTCCTGACACACAGACACAGACCCATAAGATCATAAGACATAGGAGCAGAAATTGGGCCATTCGGCCCAAGGAGTCCGCTCCGCCATTCAACCATGGCTGATAAGTTCCTCAACCCCATTCTCCCGCTTTCTCCCCGTAACCCTTGATCCCCTTGATAATCAAGAACCTATCTATCTCAGTCTTAAATGTACTCAATGACCTGGCCTCCACAGCCTTCTGTCGCAGTCCGTTCCATAGATTCATCACTCTCTGGCTGAAGAAGTTTCTCTTTACCTCTGTTCTAAAAGGTCTTCCCTTTACTCTAAGGCTGTGCCCTCGGGTCCTAGTCTCTCCTACCAATGGAAGCATCTTACCAACATCCACTCTATCCAGGCCATTCAGTATTCTGTAAGTTTCAATTAGATTCCCCCCTCATCCTTCTAAACTCCAATGAGTATAGACCCAGAGTCCTCAAACGTTCCTCATATGTTAAGCTTTCCATTCCTGGGACCATTCTTCTGAACCTCCTCTGAACCTGCTCCAGGGCCAGTACATCCTTCCTGAGATATGGGGCCCAAAACTGCACACAATACTCCAAATGTGGCCTGACCAGGGCCTTATAAAGCCTCAGTAGTACATTTCTGCTTTTATATTCAAGTCCTCTCAAGATAAATGCCAACATTGCATTTGCCTTCCTGACTACTGACTCAACCTGCAAGTCTACCTTGAGAGAATCCTGGACTAGAACTCCCAAGCCTCTTTGCACTTCAGACTTCTGAATTTTCTCCCCATTTAGAAAATAGTCCATGCTTTTATTCTTCTTATCAAAGTGCATGACCTCGCACTTTCCCACGTTGTGCTCCATCCACCACTTCTTTGCCTACTCTCCTAACCTGTCCAAATCCTTCTGCAGCCTCCCCACCTCCTCAGTACTACTTGTCCCTCCACCTATCTTTGTATCGTCTGCAAACTTAGCCAGAAATTCCCACAGTTCCTTCATCTAGATCATTTATGTATAAAGTGAAAAGTTGTGGACCTAACACTGACCCTTGCGGAACACCACTTGTCACCGGCTGCCATCCTGAGGAAGACCCTTTTATCCCCACTCTTTGCTTTCTGCCAGACAGCCAAACTTCTATCCGTGCTAGCACCTTACCTCTAAAACCATGGGCCCTTATCTTACTCAGCAGCCTCCTGTGCGGCACCTTGTCAAAGATCTTCTTGAAGCCCAGGTAGACAACATCCATTGGCTCTCCTTGGTCTACCCTGCTCATTACTTCCTCAAATAATTTTTGCAGATTTGTCAGGCATGACCTCCCCTTGATGAAACCATGCTGACTTTGCCCTACTTTACCATACACTTCCAAATATTCAGAAATCTCATCCTTTACAATGGACTCCAAAATCTTACCCACAACTGAGGTTAGGCTAATCGGCCTGTAATTTTTCATCTTTTGCCTTACTCACTTTTTAAACAGGGGTGTCACGTTAGTGATTTTCCAGTCCACTGGGACCCCCCCTGACTCTAGCGATTCCTGAAAGATCACCACTAACGCTTCCACTATCTCTTCAGCTATCTCCTTTAGAACTCTGGGGCGTAGTCCATCTGGTCCAAGTGATTTATCCACCTTCAGGCCAATCAGTTTTACTAGCACCTTTTCCTTGGTGATGGCCACCATACTCAGCTCTGCCCCGGACTCTCTTTAATTTTTAGGAGATTACTCGTGTCTTCTACCGTGAAGACTGATGCGAAGTAATTATTCAGTTCCTCAGCCATTTCCTTATTCCCCACTACTATCTCTCCACAGTCATTTTCCAGTGGTCCAATGTCCACTTTTGCCCCTCTTTCTCTTTACCCCTCTCCTTTGGTCAGACACACAGATACAGCTCTCTCTCTGGGCCAGGGACACAGGCACAGAGCCCACTTTCTTTGGACCAGACACCCAGACACTGAGCCGTCTCTCTAGACCAGCCACACAGACACAAGAGTCCTCTTTCTGGACCATGCGCACAGAGAGCTGTCTCTCTGGGCCTGACTCACAGTCAGAGACCTCTCTCTCTGGGCCACACACACAGATACAGAGCCCTCTCTCAGCTAGACACACAGACACAGAGCCGTTTCTCTGGGCCAGATGCAGAGCCCTCTCTCTGGGCCAGAGCACACAGACACTGGACAATTTCTCTTGACCAAGTTGATTATTGCTGCAAGTTGGCACAACCTCATCACAATGAAAGGGATCCTGCTCAAGCAGTTTGAAATTCCAGGAGGAAATTATCTCATGGCAGTGGGCTCACAGCTTGCATCTTCAGGATGCTCCAATGAGGGTCTAGATCTGACTCATAACTTACCTTCCTGCGTTTGCCTCATTGCATCTTTATAGTTTCTTCACTCTGATGGGAAATAGTGGCCAGGCTAATGAATCAAAGCATGGTTAATTTGTGGTTGTCATGGTGAGCTGTGATAAGATAATTTGGTTTGTACAGAAACAAAAGTGTATTTTAACACAGCGTCATCTGCTGTGACACTGCAATATATTTCTGTAGCATGCAAACATTGCTCACCTTTTGAAGAGTATAGCTCCTGTCAGTGCTGAAATCAGGTACTGCAGCAGTTACTATACTCGCTTCAGCGATCCAGCGATAAACAATGATACCAACCCTGATGTGATAGGTTTCTTAAGACTTAGTTTATGTCAACCTAAATCATAGCATACACTGTGCTTATAATACTGTTACAAAATATGCTATGTGTGCTCTCCTGAAAGGCATGTCCTTGATTCATTATTCTGAGCTATTTCCTTGTGAGCGATGGTTTGCCATTGCCTTCAATTCTTGAGGGCAGGGTAAGAAGTCTATGTAGCCAGAATGGGTATCGAACGTGTGGTGCTGGTATTATTCTGAAGCATATTCTAAGCCATCTAGCCAACTAAACTAACCGGCTCCAGCATTATTCATATAATATATAATTCATAATAATACTTGAATAATATAACTCAAGAAAATCAGTCATCCTGATGAAAAAAGGTACAGTACTAGTAAACATAATTCAAGATAAATTCTGGAATCCATGTGATTGAGAATCTGTCACCTAATGCTTTAATACATTAATATTGGTTTGTTGCAGGATGCTATCCGTGCAGTGCTTGGAAATCTGGACAGGTTACAGCCATTCACCACAGAGCACTTCACCATCTTCCCATGTATCCTTTGCAGCTTGTTCAAAAGGGCTGTATCGAACTTAAGAGAAAGGTTAAGAGTTATTAGAAGAGACATTACTAAGGTTTTGTGCAGAGTGATGCTCAGTAACCTGGTTACCAATAGCTGCCACATTAGTAAATTATATTAAACACAAGTAAAATTGTAGGAGTGTATTGTACAATTTAGTGCTGCTGGTGCAAGCCTTTATACAGCAAGGATTCAAAGGCAACCCTAGAGCTGATTTTAATTTCCTCTGTATTAACTGGGCCACCCAGAGTGTAAAAGGTCCGGACGGGGTAGAATTTGTCAAATGTGTCCAAGAAAGTTTCCTAAATCTATATATAGTGGGGCCTCTCAGGAGGGTGTAACACAAACCTCCTCTTGCACAGAAGAGCTAAAAGAGGGTATGAGATGGATCTGGCAGATAAGGTTAAAGAAAATCCCAAGAGGTTCTATAGCTATATTAAGAGTAAGAGGGTGGATAGGGAAAGAATAGGCCCCTTTAAAGATCAGCATGGCTATCTATGTATGGAGGCACAGGAGATGGAAGAGATTTTTAATAAATATTTCTCCTCAGTTTTTACTGAGGAGAGAATTATGAACACTAAGGAAATGAGGGAAGCAAGTGGGGATGATTTGGACTGTGTACATATTACTGGACAGGAGGTGTTTGCAGCCTTAAAGCGCATTAAGGTGGATAAATCCTTTGGGCCTGATCAAGTCCATCCTCAGACACTGTGGGAGGCGAGGGAAGAAATTGCAGAGGCCCTTGCAGAGATTTTTGCTTCATCTTGAGTTACTGGTGAAGTTCCGGAAGACCGGAGGATGGCTAAAGTTGTTCCATTGTGTAAGAAAGGTAGCAAGACAAGTCAGGGAGCTTCAGGCCAGTGAGCCTGACATCAGTGGTAGGCAAGTTATTGGAGAGGATACTGAAGGACAGGATCAACCAACATTTGGACAGTCAAGGTCTGATTAGGGATCATTGGCATGGATTTGTGTGCGGGAAGTTATGTCTGACAAATCTTTTAGAGTTTTTCAAAGAAGTAACCAAGAGAATAGATGAGGGTAGGGCAGTGGATGTTGTCTATATGGACTTTAGTAAGGCCTTTGACAAGGTCCTGCACAGCAGGCTAGTCATGAAGGTTAGGTTGCATGTGATCCAGCGAGGGCTAGCTAATTGGATTCAAAATTAGCTCGATGGTTGGAAGCAGAGGGTGATGGTTGAAGGTTGTTTCTCGGACTGGAGGCCTGTGACTAGTGGTATGCCACAGGAGTCGGTGCTGGGACCTTTGTTATTTGTTATTTACATAAATGATCTGGATGTGAACGTACAAGGCATGATTAGTAAGTTTGCGGATGATACAAAATTAGAAAGTATCATTGATAGTGAAGAAGATTATCAAAAATTACAGAGGGATCTTGATCAGATGGGGAAGTGGGCTGAGGATTGGCAAATACAATTCAATACAGATAAGTGTGAGGTGTTGCACTTTGAAAAGTCAAACCAAGATAGGACTTATACAGTAAATGGTAAAGTCCTGAGGAGTGTTGTGGAACAGAGGGAGCTAGGAGTACAAGTACATAGTTTGTTGAAAGCGGCATGATGGTGGTGAAGAAGGCATTTAGCATGCTGGCCTTCAACGGTCGAGGCATTGAGTATAGGAATTGGGACGTTATGTTATAGTTGTATAAATCGTTGGTGAGGCACTTGGAGTATTGTGTACAGTTTTGGTCGCCCTATTATAGGAAAGACATAGTTAAACTGGAAGTGTGCAAAGAAGATTTACGAGGATGTTGCCAGGACTAGTGGGCCTGAGTTACAGGGAGATGTTGGCCAGGACAGGACTTTATTCCTTGGAATGTAGGAGAATGAGGGGTAGCCTTTTTGAGGTGTATAAAATCATGAGGGGTGTAGATAGGATGAATGCATATAGTCTTTTTCCGAGGGTTGGGGAATTGAAAACTAGAGGGCATAGGTTTAAGGTGAGAGGGGAAAGATTTAAGAAGGACCTGAGGGCCAACTTCTTCACGCAGAGAGTGGTGCATACATGGAATGGGCTGCCAGAGAAAGTGGTTGAGGCAGGTACAATAGCAACATTTAATAAACATTTGGATAGGTACATGGATGGGAAGGGTTTAGAGGGATATGGACCAAATGCGGGCAATTGGAACTAGCTGAGTGGGCACCATGGTCAAATGGACCAGTTTGGGCTGAAGGGCCTGTTTCCATGCTGTATTGTTCTATGACTTTATGACCTAGCATTACTGAGGCTGAAGCAGAAAAATATATTTCTGATGAAAGAAAGGAAACTAGTGATATGTCCTTGGACAGATTGATAGGAGGGGATCTATTTAAACCTTTCAAGGTTTTGAGACCAATTATCTTCACTGATCAGTGAATGTTAAGAACAATACGTACATTTAGGATTAGCACTTAAAAGAGAGAGTTGTTCAGGGTAATGTCTTAGGCCCAACTATCTTCATTTGCTTCATCAATGACCTTCCCTCCATTATGAGGTCAGAAGTGGAGATGTTCACGGATGATTGCACAATGCTCAGCACAATTTGCAAATCCTAGATACTGAAGCAGTCTATGTCTAAATACTGCAAGACTGGACAATATCTAAGCCTGGGCTGACAAATGGCAAGTAGCATTTGCATCACACAAATGCATGGGAAGGACTATCTCCAACGAGAAAGATTCTTACATTCCCTGTTATCGACATGCTGGGGCTTACCATTGAACAGAAAATGAACTTGACTAGACATATAAATACCTTAGCTACAAGACCAGGTCAGAGACTTGGAATCCTGCAACAAGTAACTCACCTCCTGACTCCCTAAAGCCTGTCACCATCTTTAAGGCACAAGTCAGGGTTCTGATGGAATACGCACCATTTGCCTGGATGGGTGCACCTTCTAGAACATTCGAGAACCTTGAAAGCCCTCAGAACAATACAGCCCACTTGATTGGCACCATATCCACAAACATTCACTGTATCCACGATTAATGCATAGAAGCAACAATGTGTATCACCTACGAGGTGTGCTGAAGAAATTCATCAAGACTCAGACAGCACGTTCCAAACCCATAACCACTTCCATTAAGATGGTCAAAGGAGGCAGATGCATGGTAACACCACCACCTGTAAGTTCCTTTCCAAACTACTCAGCGTCCTGACTCGGAAATATGTTATCTTTTGTTGGGTGGGTCAAAATCCTTGAATTTCCTCCCTAACATCATTGTGGGTCCACCTATATCAAATGGACCGCAGCAGTTCAAGGGTAACATGGCAGGAGCAATTTATGCCATAAAGCAATGAAGCCCACATTGCTGAATGGAGTTTTAAAAAATTGAGTTATCATGCCAATGCCAGCTCACTGAAAGAACTCTTTATGTAAGTCCCAGTTTCCTGCTGTAGCTCCTATTTCTTGTGTCTTTTATCAAACGTTTATGCACTACCCTTTCAAAAGCTGTTGGCAATTTTGCCTTTGCTTTACTTCAGTTTAGTTCCTCTGGTCCCATGCAGGATATATACAACAAATCTCTGTCACTAGACTCAATCCATCATAGTCTCTTTGACTCCAGCCGAGTTGGTGTCCCACTCTTAAAATCCACCTAATATACTTTGTCAGGTCTTCTTTGGCCAACCACGCCTTCTTTTCCCATGTCGGGTGTCCATTCAGCTGCCCCTGCAGCCGGGCATATGTTCTCGAGGTGAAATTCGTACCCACTAGTCTATGTTGTCACTGTGATGATGTCCTGTCAGTACCTTGTGTAACACTTCTACATTGGTGATGTTGTCTCTTCAAGTAATGCCCAGAATTTTACTAGGCACCGCTAGTGCAAGATAGGCAGTTTATGTGGCACCTTTTCTACTCTGTTCCTACCTCGCTGGCATTAGACAGCAGTTGATATAACAATGGACATGGAAGACAGAATCTTTCCAGCCCTGACAACATGGGCCGTGATGAGAAAGTTGGGAAAGTCACATGACATGACCAGTGTAAAGCTTCTTGATGTCAAGAGCAAAAGGTCTCTTTTTTCAACCAAGTTTTGAACAGTGAGACAAAGTCCTTGATTGTTAAGAGAGGCCTATTTGTACGTATTAACATTTTTCATTATTTAAGCATTTGCAGTGAGTCCCGGACTGGAGGCCGTCACAGGGAAGTGAATTCCCGGACTGGAGGCCATTGCAGAGAGGCAAGTCCCCAATGTGGACCGGAGGCAAGGCCTCAAGTTTCAGAATCCGGCATGGCTGGAAGACTTGGCCCAGTATGATCTAGAGGCTAGGTGCTGGCACAGACTGGGGTGGAAGGACTGTAAACTGTGTGCTTTTATTTTTTATTTTTCCTTTTTATTCTTGTGCTAGACTTTTCATTAATTATTTTTTCTATTTTATACCAAGTACTTAAGTATGTGTACCTAGGTTTCTTGTACCTAAGATGGCGCCGTAAGCAGCAACTTGTAAACGTTTCACTGTACTCATTCAAGTACCTGTGACAATAAGGTTAATTCAATTCTCATACCCACTGGATAGAAACTTGACTTCTTACCATGAAAGTCAAAGCGATATCCTGGTAACTCCAGCTAGCTGCCACTCCTCCAGGTCTCCACCTTGAATACCAAGCACCAACTTCTCAGGGATTGAAAGTCAGCAGTGGTAGGCAGTGTTATCAGGGAATACTGCTGTATTAGGGATGTTGGAAAATCAATGCTTTGGATTGGAGGTAGCAACCTGAGATGCAGAGGAGACAAGAATGATGAAGAGAGGAAATTGGACATTTAAGAGGATTAACAGTAGCGCATGGGAGGACATGTCATATTGTGGGAGCAGAGGTTGGGTGGTCACCATGACAGTGGCCTAAATGGGGGAACTGTGCAGCAGGATGGTGGGTAAGCCTAAACTATAGGGCAGGGATTCAGTGGCTCTCAGTGAAAGCAGCAAATGTAATTCCAGGCATTAACATCTCAGGGTAAATTCCACGGGCAGCTATCCCACACACACCACCCATCCATGGACCTTGGAATCTGCCACATATCACCCTCACCACATCATTGTGTCACATTTCCAGTCCACGTATGAGACAGTTATGCATTTTAAGTGGTGCGCTTTGGAGCACACCTACACTTTTTGTTGCAATGCTGCTGCTGGGATACTTTGCACACAGGGACAGGCACCAATTGAACCAGGCAGCATCTTAGGGCTGCTTACTCACTCACGACTTTAGTGCTCACTCACTTTGTGCCTACTTGAATACTCACAGCATCCTTGCCTTTGTGCCTGTTTGAATACTCATAGCATCCCTGCCATTGTGCTTGTCCTCCTCACCAAAGCTTAAAGGCTCAAAGTACTTTGATCTTGCCTTGCTGTTTAGCACAGACAAAAAGATCGATGTGGTTTTCGACATTGATCAGACTAGACAGGTTCCATGGCACCACAATATACAGCATATGCCAGCAGCCTAGGAGGGAAATGTGATGCACATGCTTCATGCATGGCCCTGTCTCAAAGTTTAAGGGGAATGGACCCAAGTCAAGTCAAGGAGGCCTGCTATCATTCAGAGGTCCTGGCATAGAAAGTCTTTTGCATCATCCAGTCACAGTCCAGGGGATGAGGAAAGTCAGTCTACTGCTGGACTGGACACAATTAAGGGGTGTGTGTCACTATAATCTCTTGCTGTTCCAAGAGGCAAATACAGCTTCTGTTTCTTTACTGTTCACATCTGCTGATGTTGAATGAAAATAGATGTTTTGAACCATTTGAAGGCTTTCCTGTATGTAACGGCCTCACATTAAGCAATGGGAAGATTTTGGGTTACATTGGGCATTTGGGAAAGAGCAGCTGTCATTTAGAAAGGGTGGTAGGATGGGGTGGGACAGTTTATGGGTAAGCTGTGTGGCTTGGATCCTAAACAGTGATTGATGTGAAACTATGGATTTGGGTGAAATGTCAGCTGTGCCACCTACATGTCCAGGGGAGTGCTGATTTGTGGTTGCTTTCCCATTACGCACGTGGTGAATAGCAACTCCAACTGCCAATGCTTGATTGACTTTGATGAGGCCTCTTCTGGAGTACTGTGTCCAGTTCTGATCACCCTGTTATAGGAAGGATATTATCAAGCTGGAGAGGGTTCAGTAAAGATTTACCAGGATGTTGCCATGAATGGAAAGTGTGACTTATAGGGAGAGGCTGGATAGGCTGGGACTTTTTTCACTAGACTGTAGGACATTGAGGGCTAGCCTGATAGAGGTTTTTAAAATCATGAGGGACATAGATAAGTTGAACAGCAGGTGTCTTTTCCCTATGGTGGGTGATTTCAAGACTAGGGGGCATATTTTTAAGGTGAAAGAGAGGACATGAGGGTCTACTTTTTTTACACAGAGAGTGGTTCGTGTGTGGAATGGACTTCCAGAGGAAATGGTGGATGTGGGTACAGTTACAACGTTTAATGTACATGAATAAGAAATGTTTTGAGGAATATGGGCCAAGCACAGGCATTTGGGACTAGTTTAGCTTGGGATTATGGTCGGCGTGGACTAGTTGGACCGAAGAATCTGATTCCTTGTGACTCTATGACTTGATGTACAGCTGGGCTTCAAACAAAGTGCTGGCATCAGTATCCCTGCATGTCCTGGCGAATATTTCCATTGACAGCAAGTGGCAGAATAGGATGTACAGGTTGCCATTGGGGTATGGTGCATAGGTAATGAGATGGGTATGAAAAAATTATGCTGGAAACTTGCTGGCCTCACAGAGAGAAGTGCTCCCTGAGACTTGCCAAAATGGTACTTAGCCAATTTCTAGTTGAATTCAGCCTTACAGAGTCGCAGTTTCATGTCTGTATCAATGCTAGTGTCTCTGCCTTTTACAATCGACACTGAATGATCCTCGTGTAAAAAAAAAATTACCTTCTACCTTTTTTCCTTTTGATTTTCAGTTTATATTAGTTTTGTATAAATTAGGAATCAGTGGGAAAAAATGTTTACCCCAATTTATCATATCTATCCTCTTAGTGCTTCTCTGTATTCCCAACTACCCCTTTAAAAGAGGTTGTAGACATGCTCGTCGAGCAGGTGGGTTTGGTTGCAAACATTTTGTCATCCTGCTAGGTAGCATCGTCAGTGCGCCTCTGGCGAAGCACCAGTGTTCTATTCCACTTGTTATTTATATGCCTCAGTTTGCTGGGGTGGTTGGTATTACTTCCAGTTTTGTTTCTCAGTGGTTTGCCCACAGGGTCTAATTCAGTGTGTATGTTGATGGAGTTCCGGTTTGAATATCAGGACTCCAGGAATTCCCTGGCATGTCTCTGTTTGGCTTGTGCCAAAGCCAAACAGTCAAACAGAGATATGCCAGGGAATTCCTGGAGGCCTGGTATTCCAATTGGAACTCCATCAACAAACACATTGAATTAGACCATGTGTATAAACCACCGAGAAACAGAGCCGGAAGTTAGTACCAAACGCCCCAGCAAACTGAGGCATATAAATAACAAGTGGGACAGAACACCGACGCTTCACTGGAGGCGCACTCATGATGTTACCCAGCAGGGTGATGAAACATTTGCATCCAAACCCACCGGCTCGGCGAGCATGTCTACAACTTCATCCACAACCTGAGCTACAAATCTTCATAAAAACTTTATGCCCCTTTAAATACCTATTGCTTTCTGCACTGTTTATTCCATTCCTGTTTTTTCTATACTCTGTGACTCTTTTGTTGCCTCTTGTTGCTTTCCTACACCCTTTGGGTGTCTTTCCTCAACTAACTACTGTCAGTTATCTACCATTTGTATCTGTGCTGCCTGGGGTCTTCAATGTGTACATATCATCTGCCATGTTTACATTAGTACATTAGTAACTGGTCTTCAGAAGTGACTCATTGGTTTTGAAGCACTTTGGAATGCCCTGAGGTTGTAAAAGGTCTTATATAAATGCAAATCCTTTCTTTCGTAAATGTATGCTGTATAATATCTGTAGTTTGCTGGAGTATCTTTTATTTATTTTCAGTATAACTGGTGTGAGAGGGACTGCTTGCAACAGATTCTTCTTTATGGCTTTACCTTTAACAGTGTACAAGATAAAAATGAATGGGAAAGATTATCGGAACTGCAATTTAAACAAGGTGACAAAGTCCTCATCTCTTACCCGTATGTCTGTACCTTGTATATTGAATTAAGATCAGATCAACAGCACTCAGCAGGTAAATGCATTTCTTTCAAATAAATATTTGGTGGTGTATGATTACAGGATTAAACAATACTGATAATGTTCTTTTTTTTTAGCCTTCAACACATCCTATTTAATTTTTATGTTCCTCTCCCTCAGTTACTCGCCAAGAATCATGCTCTATCCAAGAGGTTATTTGGCAGATCAAAGCCAAGCCTCATTACTTCCTGTCGCAGCTCATTCCATACACGCACCACCTTCTGCGTGAAAAAGTTACCCCTTACATCCCTTTTAAAGCTGCTCATAGGGGAAGCAAGGAGGCATGTTGAGTTCATAGAGTCATAGAGATATACAGCATGGAAACAGACCCTTTGGTCCAACTTGTTCATGCCGATCAGATATTCTAAATTAATCCAGCACCATTTGCCAGCATTTGGCCCAGATCCCTCTAAACCCTTCCTATTCATATACCCACCCAGATGCCTTTTAAATATTGTAATTGTACCAGCCTCCATCACCTCCTGTCGCAGCTCATTCCATACGCACACCACCCTCTGCGTGAAATGTTGCCCCTTAGGACCCTTTTATATCTTTACCTTCTCACCTTAAACATATGCCCTCTAGTTTTGTACTCCCCTACCCTGGAAAAGACCTTGGCTGTTCACCCAATCCACACCCCTTCGTAATTTTATAAACCTTTATAAGGTCACCCCTCAGCCTCCGACGCTCCAGGGGAAATAGCCCAAGCCTATTGTTGATCGAACCGAACCCATTACATCTTTACCTTCACTCACCTGCTTCTGATCAGGTGGATCAGGATTTTGTTGTAGAAGGAACTGTATGATTGCTTGGATAACATTTGATTTAAAACATCTTGTGCCTTATGCATTTTCTCTAACCTCCCAAGCCCTCCACTCCTGATTATTCTGCCTTTAGCCCCCTTGGTCAATTGGTCTGGAATTCTCTCCATAAATCCCTCTGCCTCTCTACCTGTTCATTTAAGATCTCGCTCTTTTGAACCAAGCCATTCATCAGTCCAACTAATTTTTCTCTTTTGGTTTTTACCAGTTGTTTTTATCCATCCTTACCCAAGGGATTAAGACATGTGTGTCAACTCAGCATAGACTGGAAATTGAAACTGGGACCTTCTGATTCCTGTAGTAATTTAACCGTCAATAATTGAGAGAGTTGCTGCTAATTCTATTTTTGTAATTTTTGGGAGCATGATAGTTGTCAGTTAATACATTACGAAACAATGGTTACAGCGTGTTAAACTGAATATGCTGCAATTGTTGAAATCTTACTTTATTGGAATTAAGTCAGATTGTACTTTTTTTTACGTTTCAATTTGCAAGATGCAAGTTGTTATGCCCAGATGATGGTAGTATTGGATGAGTCAGGTTCAATGGTGAAAGCTGATTTGATAGACCGTAAGTTTTACTTCTGCGATTTGGTCACTGAACATATTCAAGTGACAAATTCAGAAACGTCCCCACATTTCTGTCCTAAAAGATTTTAAAACTGCATCTCTTAGCTCTGGATTCACCTACTCCAGTAACATTCTTTCCACATCCACCATGTCAAGAGTGTTTGGGATTTGATAAACTACAATCAAATCACCCTGTGCTTTTCTAAACTTGGGTGAAACTGTGTCCAGCTTATCCAACTTTGCCTCATAAACCAATGTGTTCAATCCAGGTATCAATCTGGTAAACCTCCTCTGAACCTTATCCAACACATTTACGTCCTTCCTTAAATAAGGAGACCAAAATTGTACATAGTATTCAAGATGTGTTTTGACTAGTGCCCTATAACCTGAAGCATAATATCCTTACATTTATGTTCAAATTGGTATTGTAATAAAGAATAGCATTCCAGTAATCACTTGATGTACCTGCATCCTATTCTTTTGTGACTCATGCATTATTCCACCTAGATCTTTCTACAGCTTGGAATTCTGAAGTTGTTCACCATTTAAAAAGTACTCTGCATTTTCTTTCCTGCCAAAGTGAAAACCATCACATTTTGCCACATTATACGCCATCTGCCAGAATTTTGCTCATTGACTTAACCTATTTATGTCAGTCACAACCTTTATTAAGTTATCTTTGCAACATGAACACAAGTCCCTGCTGTTCTGTCATTGTTACTCATTTGATATCTTGGAACTCTCAACCTGACTCCCTATCTACTTGCACCATGAGGACTGCAGAGGTTTAAGAAGGAGACTTAGACCACTTCCTCAAGCCACCTAGGATTGGGCAGTAAATGCCGCCTCACCAATGATCCCCAATGCCGACTACAATTTTTTTTAAAGCTCTAAGGATGTGCTTAAATCTTTAAAGTTTTGAGGATGGATGGAGTGCATGTGTTTTTGATGAATAATAGTGAACACACTTAAGAACTACTCCGTTGGCTGCAAAACTCTTCAGGGTGTTCTGATGATGTGAAATGCGTTATATAAATGCAAGTCGTTTTTTACTCTGATTGCTTCAGCAGCTTTCTTGAAAGTGCTGTCTAGAAGCCAGAACTGGTGACTGTTGAAATAATAAAACTGAGTGAAAGATGTTGACAGAAAAGTGTGACTGGAAATCAGGCTATGGACAGAAGGACTATACCTTCATAACAGGTTTTTTAATAATATGCGATGATAGTGATCATTGTGAATAGGAATGGTGCTGCAGTCTATTTAATGTCATGCAATCAGTTTCATGGTTCACTTGTACAACTCCTGCCCAATTTTGATTCCATTTATGTGTTTTTCAAACATTTCACAAGCTCAACTTTTCAAGTCTTAAAGTACAAGTTGAAAGCCATTTATCTCCTTGACTTTGAACAGGGATGAGTGACTTATTGACTGATTTGTGTTTTCTTTGTTTCAGCTGCAGGTGAATGCCCTTTCATTGACTGTGTAAGTCATTGTAATTTTGCAGTGTGATCCTTGATATTCAGTGACAAGAGCTAAGTGCAGAAGTCACACTATTCCAAATAGTACTTTGTGGTGTGAAGGCTTTGGAACTGCTCCTGTATGAAAGGGCTATAAAAATACAAGGGTTAATGGGAGAAAAGGCATTTTCCATAGTTTGCACATTCCTTTCAGAAGGAAGAAGTATAGAAAATAGGAGTTGCAAGAAGCCATTCACTCCTTTGATCTGCTCCATAATTCAATAAGATAATGGCTGGTCTTCTACCTCCAGTCTACCTACTCGCACTATCTCCATATCCTTCATTTCCTATGTAACTAAAGATCTATTGATCTTGGTCTTGAATGTACTTAATGACCGAGCACCACAGGTCTCTGGTGTAGAGAGTTCCAGAGATTAACAACCTCTCTCACCACAGGCCAAAATGGCTGGCCCCTTAGTCCATGGTAGTCTTAGTCCCTTAGACCATGTCCCAGATTTACAAGCCCAGGGACACATTTTCTCAGTATCTAAACTGTCCCATGATTTGATCAGTTTATCTCTATTCTTCTAGTCTCCTCTATGGAATTACTGCCTGGTCTACTCAATCTATCCTCAGTTCATCCTCTTGGGGCAATCTCTTCATTTCAGGGAATCAGTCAAATTAACTTTGAAAAAACTTCCTCTCAGCCAAGTAGGTCCTTCCTTAGTTAAAGATACCAAAACTGCATACATTAGTCCATGTGGCCTTACCAATATCTTGTATAATTGTTGCAAGACTGTTTTTATACTTCAATCATTTGTAACTCAAGCTAACACAGTGCTCCTCTTCGTAATTTATTGTTGTATCTGTGATTCACATACAAAGACGCCCGCGTCCTTCTGTGCAGGAACTTCTCTCCATTCAAAACAATTCTACCTTTTTTTCTACCCATGTAGAAAATTTCATACTTCTTCATATTTTATTTCATCTGTTATGCTCTTTCCCACCTTTTCCAACTTAGTATTATCAGCAAACTTGTAAAATGTTCCCCTCCTCATGTCATTGAACATAAAGTTTATTATAAATAGCTCAGGCCCAAATGCTGATCCTTGCAGCACTCTGCCAGCTGTAGCCAACCAACCCTGCTTTCTGTTTCTGCCTGTTAACTAGTTCTCAATTCATGTAAATAAATTGTCCGCAGTCCCGGAGTCGTGTTTTTCTGCAAAATCTCTTGTTTAGTACCTTCTCAAATTTTTAAAAAAAATCTAGACCCCCTACGTGCTCTGCTCATCCCCATATGAGAATTGGTTGAAGACTCTGGATCTGCACTCAATGGAGTTTAGAAGGATGAGGGCAGAATCTCACTACAGAATACTGAGAGACCTAGACAGAGTGGACGTGGAAAAGATGTTTCCACTAGTAGGAGAGACTAGGACCCGAGGGCACAGCCTTAGGGCGAAGAGACGACCCTTTGGAACTGAGATGAGGAGGAATTTCTTCAGCCAGAGGGTCACAAGTCTGTGGAACTTATTGCTGCAAAAGCCTATGGAGGCCAAGTCATTGAGTATATTTAAGATAGATAGGTTCATGATTAGGAAGGGGATCAAGGTTTAAGGAGAAAAAGCAGGGGTTGAAAACTATCAGCTATGATCGAATGGCCTAATTCTGCTCCTGTATCTTATGGTGTTATGGTCTTATCCATCCTACTAGCTACATCCTCAAAAAAAACTTTGATAGATTTGCATACACATCTTCCCTTTGATAAATCTGTGTTGACTCTAATAGTATTATGATTTTTATTTGTACTGGTTTCTTTAAGTTCCCCATTCTTGCTAGACCCTTGGTTTACATTAATTCACCAGTCTCTGTGTTTCATAGCTACTTTACTCTTAATTTTCTGTTTTTCCTTTGTAAAGTTCTTGGTCCCCTTTGCTGAATTGTAAAATCCAGTAGGTTTTCAGCCTTACTAATCTTTCTGGTAGTCTTACTAATCTTTATAGTCCAGCAGGTTTATTTAAAAACATTTTAAGGCTCTTTCTTGGATTTAACATTATCGTTAGTCCTCCTGATGTCCACACTTAGAACATAGAACATAGAACTGTACAGCACCGTACAGGCCCTTCGGGCCATGATGTTGTGCCGAACTTTTACCCTAAACCTAAGGTCCATCTAACCTCCACCCCTACCTTATACTATCATCCATATGCCTATCTAATAGCCGCTTAAATGCCCCTAATGAAGCCGACTCCACTACCCTCTCCAGCAATGCATTCTATGCCCTACCATTCTCTGAGGAAAGAACTTACCTCTGACGTCTCCCCTGTATCTATCTCCACTCACTTTAAAACTATGCCCCCTCGTAATAGCTACCTCCACCCTAGGAAAAAGTCTCTGGCTAACCACTCTATCTATACCTCTGATCATTTTGTACACTTCTATCAAGTCACCTGTCATCCTTCATCGTTCTAAAGAGAAAAGCCCTAGCTTTCTCAACCTTTCCTCATAAGACCTTCTCTCTATTCCAGGCAACATCCTGGTAAATCTCCTCTGCACCTTTTCCATCGCTTCCACATCTTTCCTGTAATGAGGCGACCAGAACTGGACACAATGGTCCAGATGTGGCCAAACCAGGGTTTTGTATAGCTGGAGCATAACTTCACAGCTCTTGAACTCAATCCCTCTATTAATGAAAGCTGACACACCATACGCCTTCTTAACAACTCTATCCACCTGGGTGGCAGCTTTCAGGGAACAGTGGACATGAACCCCGAGATCCCTCTGCTTATCCACACTGCCAAGAATCTTTCCGTTAACCCTGTATTCTGCTTTCAAATTTGTCCTTCCAAATTGAATCACCTCACACTTTTCAGGGTTAAACTCCATCTGCCACTTCTCAGCCCAGCTCTGCATCCTATCAATGTCCCTTTGTAACCTAGAACAGCCCTCCGCACTATCCACAACTCGACTCACCTTTGTATTGTCCGCGAAATTACTAATCCACCCTTCCACTCTTACATCTAAATCATTTAGAAAAATCACAAATAGCAGAGGACCCAGAACAGATCCTTGTGGTACACCACTCTTAACTGAGCACCATGTTGAATATTTTCCGTCCACTACCACTCTTTGTCTTCTAAGGGTCAGCCAATTCTGAATCCAATCTGCCACATTTCCCCCGATCCCATGCCTCCTTACCTTCTGCATGAGCCTACCGTAGGAAACCTTATCAAACGCCTTTCTTAAATCCATGTATACCGCATCCACTGCTCTACCTTCATCCACGTGTTTGGTCACCTCTTCAAAGAATTCAGTAAGGTTTGTGAGGCATGATCTACCCTTCACAAATCCATGCTAACTATCACGAATCAAACTGTGCCTATCCAAGTGATCATAAATCCTATCTCTCAGAGCCCTTTCCAATAATTTGCCCACCACTGAAGTAATTTCCGGGGTTATCCCTATTCCCTTTTTTGAACAAGGGAATGATGTATGCCACTCTTGGAACATTTTTTCTGAGGTTTTTTTGTGGCTGAAAGGAAAGCATATTTGTTGCAAATTATGAGTGAATTCCTTAAATATTAATCATTGCTTATCTAATTGCATGTATGTGAATATGGTTTTCTAATCTACCTTAGTTAACTCAATCTCAAACCTATTAGATGGCATTGTGTAAATTTAAGACTCTAGCTTACCTAAGTCACTTTTGAACTGAATGTAACTGCTATCATATTTTGTCACTAATGGAGGTCAACTCTATTAACTCTTTAGCACTGAACTATGCTATTTACAAAATAGTCTGCTCCCTACTTGGTTCCCCAACTGACCTAACTAAAAAACCTATCTTGTTTCCTCATGTTGCTCTTCTGGTCTTTTTGTTAAATACCCTGTAGATTACCAATCCTCCTGCCACTGGAAAGGTTTGTCCTTATTTATCGTATCAAAGTTCTTTATACTTTTTGCCATCAATATCATGGCTCCCATTATGTATCCCTGCTCTCAGAAGAGGCTCCCCAGGTTCTTCAGTCTCTCCATGTAATTGAACTCCCCGCTTCCTCATCACATCCAGTAAATCTCTTTTATACCCACTCCAAGGCCTTGTCATCTTTCATAAGGTGTGGTGTCCAGAATTTATTTTGCCCCATTGTTTTTCTTCTCTCTGCTTCTTTTAATAAAGCCAATGTTCTCACATTTTTTTTAAACAGCCTTCTGAATATATTTTTCCACCTTCATTTGTATATGAACAACTTTGTTCCTCCAACACCTTGGAAATTCCATCATTAAGTTAATCTTGCTTCTTCGTGCTCTTCCTATTGAAATGTATCACCTCACACACTCCTGTTCATTAAATTTCATCTGCTATTTGTCTGCTTACTTTATGGTTTGGTCATGTATTTGTAAACTAATCACATCGAATGCTCTCTTTGCTTACTAAATTTCCAAGTTTCACCTCATCTGCAAACTTCAAAACTATGCCTTGTATTCTCAAGCCCAGGCCACTCAAGTGATGTTAAAATGTGGAGTGGTCCTAGTGCCAACAGTATGGAACATTGCTGCATACTTTCTGAAAAAATCAGCTGCTCACCATTGTTTTCTGTCCTGTTTACAAGTTTGTATCCATGGAAATGCCCTGGGCTTTAGTTTTAATAATGAGTCTATTATCGTACCTGTTATTAGTGTTCTACAACACGACTATTCTGCTGCTTGTGCCTGAGCTGGGACTTTCAAAGGACCATTCAATTAGTTCCACATCATAATGTCAGAAATCACACAACACCAGGTTATAGTCCAAAAGGTTTAAGAGAAAACACAGGCTTTTGGAGCCTCTCTCCTTCTTCAGCTGTTAGTGAGAGAGGTAGTATCAGACACAGAATTTATAAGTAAAAGATCAAAGGGTCACACCACTGATCAGGATGTATTAAACAAACCTGAAATGCTGTTAAATTTTTAATCAGTTGGAAGGTTTTAATTGATTAATATTTACATGTAAGTCCCTGAATTCCTCTTAGGTCACTGTCCTGAGAGAACTAAAGGTTTTATTAGTGTAAAGAAGAGGTGACATTTTAGGTCAGACAATGCATGTTAGATGTCAGGCCTTTTTTAGAGTCTGTTTGTGTTTTGGTTTGGAGTCAGATTGGTTTTGCCTCTAAAGTAGGAATTTATAAATTTATCTATAAATTGTGTGCTTTTTGAACAGAATAGAATGTATCTGCAAAAACAAATTCACCCCATAGATTAACATATGTGTGTGCGTGTTTGTGTGTGTGAGAGGGGGGAGAGAGAGTGTGTGCGCGTGTGTGTGTGTGCATGTGCGTGTTGGAGGGTGACTCGGCCAATGGTGTCTATCTCATACACTGCAGGCAAGGATGCTCCAAGGCATGGTATATTGGCGAAACCATGCAGATGCTACGACAATGGATGAATGGACACTGCAACAATCGCCGGACAGGGATGTTCCCTCTCAGTCGGGGAACAGTTCAGTGGTCAAGGATATTCGGCCTTGGATCTTTGGGTAAAAGTCCTCCAAGGCAGACTTCGGGATACACAACAATGCAGAGTTGCTAAGCAGAGGCTCATAGCTAAGTTCAGACCCCATAAGACGATCTTGGGTTCATGTCGCACTACAGGTGACCCCACTCTCTCTCTCCCTCACACACGCACACACTGTCTCTCTCCATCATACACACACACACTCTCTCTCTCCCTCACACACACACACACACACACTCTCTCCCACACATGCACACACTCTCTCTCTGTCACCCCCACACACACACACACACACGCAAACACTCCCTCTCTCTCCCTTACACACATGCACAGTCTCTCTTTCCCCAACACCCCACACACGTACATTCACTCATTCACTCTCTCTCTCCCACACACACACAGACACAGGCATGCGTGCACGCGCACACACACTCATGTAAATCTATAGGGTGAATTTGTATTTTCAGATACGTTCTATTTTGTTCAAAAAGCATACAATTTATAGATAGGCAGTAAATGTGGTGTTTTATAAATTCCTACTTTAGAGGCAAAACCAGTCTAACTCCAAACCAAAAAGCAAACAGCTTCTAAACAAGGCCTCACACCTAACATGCATTGTTTGACCTAAAATGTCACTCTTCTTTACACTGGTAAAACCTTTAGTTCTCTCAGGACAGTGACTTAAAAGGAATTTGGGGATTTATATATACATAATAATCAATTAAAACCTTCTAACTGATCAAATATTTAACAGCGTCTCAGGTTTGTTTAATGCATCCTGATCAGTGATCCTTTGATCTTTTACTTATCAGTTCTGTGTCTGATACTACCTCTCTCACTAACAGCTGTGATTTCTGACCTTGTCCACCCCGGTCCAACCGGCACCTCCACATCATGGCCACATCATCATGACTCACTTCCTAATAGAATTATCATCTGCTTTTTGACTCCAATGTCAATTACATTAATTCCCAACTTCTGCTTGCCAATGCTCCTACCAGTGCAAACAGCTCCGTATTTACTAATTGCTTCATTGTTTTGAACATCACTATCTTTTTTTTAATCTTCCTGTTCAAGGACAGCAATGCCAACTTCTCCAAATTTTACTCGGTAGATGTATAGAGGATGTTCCCAGCAAAACAACAACTAGGGCCTGTAAATATAATCACTAATAAACACACTGGGGAACTCAGGAGAAACCTCTTTACACAGAGATTGTGGAGCTCACTGCCATGAAGAGTGGCAGAAGAAAATAGTGTAATTGCGTTCAAAGGGTATCTAGACAAACACATGCAGGAGAAAGGTATAGAAGGATATGTTATCAGGTGAGATGAAGGGGGTTTGGAGAAGGCTAATGTGGAGCATGAAAACAGCAACTTGTATTGACTTTCTCCATTACTTCATCAAAAAAGTCGATCAACTTAGCCAAAATGATAAATGCAGACTTTCATTATTTGCCCATCCTTTTACCAATTTACGTTTGTGTTCTCTGTACTGGAGCCCCTCTGAATCGTAAATACTATGAGAGTGATTTTTCTTCTAAGTGTAGGGGATCATTTGTCAGGTAATGACTAACACGTTATCCCCACTGCCGAGATAACTCGCTGGACTCCCCCACCAATCAGCTCATTTAGAACTGACAGCAGAGCAGAGACGAGTATCTCACCCTAACACAGATAGGGGTTGGTAGAAGCTTACACCTGGGGGATTCATCAGAAAGAACGTAGCTCTTTTGTTTTCGCTTCTGAGGGGTTGAGGGTTGCAGGCTGGGGGGGAGGGGTGTTGCAGAAAGGTTGGAAGCAAGATCAGGCAGGTGCACCTTTCTGAAGCCATCTCCTTACTCATCACCCATGCCTCAATTGCCCCCATATTAGAGTAATTGGAAGCCCTCATGCCCATCCCACTCCACAGTTGATACCATGTCTCCTCAGCAAGAAAACTAGCCACCTCACTCCCTGCTGGGGAGGCATGTGAGGAGGGAGGTGGTGAGTTGAGGCCCTTACCTGGTTGCTATTTAACCACTTAAGGGCTTTAATGGCTGGTGGTTTGAGAAAGTCCCCAGTGGACCTTCTCACCTAGCACTTAATTGATGAGGTGGTGAATTTTTCCCCAAGGTCAACTTGTTCTGTTATTTCAAAACTGAAAGAACTATAGATGCTGTAAATCAGAAACAAAAACAGAAATTACTGGAAAAGCTGCTGCCAGACCTGCTGAGCTTTTCCAGCAATTTCTGTTTTCGTCCCAGTATTTTCCCTTCTCACCACTTCCAGGGAGCGAAAATCACAGCATTGGACCTAGCAATGCAATCCAATATTATATCAATGCTTTCCCTATAGCTAGAGGGCAGACACCCTTGACTTTATGACTATTTATCACCTTTGACTTTAATTAATGAATAACTATTACTTCTGGCCCCTTTTCTAGCCCATGGACATCCCAAATATATGAGACTGCCCTATCCACAACAAAAGATAAAGTGATATAATTTATTCTTTATTTAATATTAATTTCTTTGGAAACTTATCTGAGAAGATATGCAGGAATCTTGATAGTGACAATTACATTAAGATACCTCAAAGCCACTGAAGTCTAATGAACTCTTTAGGTTGAGACTGAACTGAAGCTAAGTAGTGTGTATCATCTAAATATTTAAATTGAAAAGTCATTAAAAGTGGTTAAAACATTATCCCTCATGCAAAGCACACAAAGTAGCCTTTTAACCTGGAGATTGATTGCAGGCTTTTGAAAATTACCGTCTCAAATGCCAGATAACATAACAATAAAATCATTGTAATAACTACTTAAATGTCGAGAGTAGATTGAAGACAGTGCATTGAAACATAAATTACTAAATATTCACATCATAGAAATGGAACCTTGGTGTTTATTTTTAGAATAGAGATTCTGTATGACTCCAATTGTAATTTTTGCCATTGTAGTTGTTGAAGAGTGGATAGTGGTACGGAGCTGATATGTTAAGAACCCTCTTGCTGTGCTATAATTTCAATGATTCTACAATTTAAAATAACTGTATGCGAATGGTGTCCTGAGCAGTAAACTTTAATTCCTGCAATTGTATAACAGCACATTTCTGGCTGTTGAATAAATTTCTGTATTTCGAAGAAATCCTGTGCACTGTTTATGCAAATTGAAGTGCACGGTAAATTCATGAATTAAAACTTTACTTTTAATTTGAAGCATCTTTTGGAAAAGCTGACTGAAAAGACGGCAGCACTCCCAGTAACAAAGGAAGCCAATGAGCAGAAACCAGAGAAACTACCTTTGCAGCTGAACAGAAAAAGGTCAGTAGTATAGGAGTTATAGCACAGAAATAAGACATTCAATGCATTGCGCCAGTGATGGTGCTAATACTTCAACTGGCTCTAGACCCCATTACAGCATTCAGTCCAAACATGATAAAGAGCTGTATTCAAGAGGTGAGCTGAGAGTAACTGCCTTTGCCAACAACACAGTGTTTGACAGTGGCACCAAGGAGCTTAAGCAAACTAGAAGTCAGTAGGAATGGGAAACCTTTCTAGAGGTTGGAGTCATAGCCAGCACAAAGAAACATGGTCGTTGGAGACCAATCGTTGCCATCCAAGCACATCACTGCCGATATTCCACATCATAATGTCCCTAGGCCCAACCATCTACAGCTGATTCACCAATGACCTTCACTCCTTCCCTCCCTCCTTGAGCTCTAATCTGTGGTGACTGTCCCAAGTCTATGTTTACTGTCACTGTGAACTCCACTCTGGGGTTACCGTCACAATGAACTCCACACTGGTGTTACCGTCACAGTGAACTCTACTCTGGGGTTACTGTTGCCATGAACTGTAGTCTCCGTTTACTGTCATCGTGAATTCTAGTCTATGTTTACTGTCACTGTGAACTCTAATCTGGGTTACTGTCACTGCGAACCCTGGTCTATGTTTACTGTCACTGTGAACGCTAATCTGGGTTACTGTCACTGTGAACTCTAACCTGTGTTACTGTCACTGTGAACCCTAGTCTATGTTTACTGTCACTGTGAACTTTAATCTGGGGTGACTGTCAGTGTGAATCTAACCTATGTTACTGTCACTGTGAACTCTAATCTCGGTTACTGTCACTGTGAACTGTAATCTGGGGTGACTGTCACCGTGAACTCTAGTCTGGGGTTACTGTCAGTGTGAACTCCATTCTGGGGTTACTGTCACCATTATCTCTAGTCAGTGGTTACTGTCTGTTCAAATCTTTGTCACAAACCTTAATGGTGTATTGTCTTATTTTACAGTTCACTGCTTTTATTGCGGTCTTGCTGGTTTCTTACTGTGTTTTACTGTTGTCACAAACCTTCAGTTAATCATATATTTACTGTGAATTATGCAGAATTTTTTAAAAAGACTTTGGATTTGGTGAGACTAATAAAAAACCAATTTACTTTAAAGGAGTGAAAATGCTTTGATGAAAATCATCAATAAAGAAAACATGGTTGACTCTGGGACAATGAGTGAAAAAAAAAGGAAGGTAAGTCTGTTAAAGAGCCAATCTATCTGTGGTTTATGCATCACCACTTTATAAGGTCTATATCCCAAATTTTCAGTATAGTGAGTAACAAAATCTTCTCAAAATCAGCTAAAAATGTAATATTCCTGAACCTTTAGTATTTGCATCTTGTTCAGCTGGCCTGACCAACTTGAAAATGATATTTCATTTTATTCAGTGCTGTTTTGAAAATATTTTAAATTTATGGCAACTAGGATTTATCCCCTTCTCAATGACAATGTAACTGTGCACAATTCAATTTAACATTAGAACTATATGGTTATGTTTAATTAATTTGTACTGGTTTTGATTACTTATCATATATTCAGTGTATGCATTGTGTATCATATTAGCAAAAAAAAGGCAAAGTACTATGATGCTGGAAATTTGAAATATAAACAGGAAATTCTGAAGAAACTAATTTAACAGCTCCTCACTTAGAATCTATCCCTTTTGTTCTTCCATTCCCTACTTTTGTATTTGTCTAAGATGCGTCACAGCCCGGTTCTGATGATAATTTATCAACCTCTTTTTTCAGATTTTCAGTGTCTGCAGTCTTTTTACAGCAATGCTTGACATGTCCAAATGAAACTTAATCATGAATGACTAAACCATGCATTGGATGCTCATATGTTTATAACTCTCTTGAGATCTCTCTTGGGGGAACAACAATGGCTAGGATTCTGCAGGCAGTCAGCTAAAGTATTGGGGACTTGGGAGAGTTGGTGTTCCGGATGTAATAGGAAACAAAGAAATGTTCAGCGATATCCCTGCCAAAGATTGACAGCTCATGAGCACACAGAGAGAGGAGTAAATTGCTTTCGTGCAGTGCCTGTCTTGTTGCTGTCACTTTACTGAATGTGGAATGGAATCAGTGTTGTCTCCACCCTATTACAGAGCAGCAGAAGTTCCAAGAAGTTATCCAATCCTGGAAAGATGCTGAGATTTTTAGAGCTAATAAGGAAGAACAGCTTATAAGAAGTGTAAGGCTAAGTCATGCTTGAAGGCTAAAGAAGAAAGAGGACAGAATGGTCTGTTTCTGTGCTGTACAACTCTATGACTCTGACAGGGTGAGTTTGAGTTTTAGAGACAACAAGGTGCAGGGCTAGATGAACACAGCAGGCCAAGCAGCATCATAGGAGCAGAAAGGCTGACGTTTTGGGCCTAGACCCTTCATCAGAAAACAGGGAGGTGAAGGGGGTTCTGAAATAAATAGGGAGAGAGTGGGAGGCGGATAGAAGATGGATAGAGGAGAGGATAGGTGGAGAGGAAACAAACAGGTCGAAGAGGCGGGGATGGAGCCAGTAAAGGTGAGTGTAGGTGGGGAGTTAGGGAGGGGATAGGTCAGTCCAGGGAGGACGGACAGGTCAAGGGGGCGGGATGAGGTTAGTCGGTAGGAGATGGGGATGCGGCTTGAGGTGGGAGGAGGGGATAGGTGGGAGGAAGAGCAGGTTAGGGAGGCGGGGACGAGCTGGACTGGTTTTGGGATGCACACCCCGTCCATGCAATAAGAACCAAAAAAGAATCCCCCTCGTCCTCACGTACCACCCCACCAACCTCCGGATCCAATGCATCATCCTCCGACACTTCCGCCACCTGCAATCCGACCCCACCACCAAAGACATCTTTCCCTCCCCACCCTTATCTGCTTTCCAGAGGGACCACTCTCTCCGTGACTCCCTTGTCCGCTCCACACTCCCCTCCAGCCCCACCACACCCGGCACTTTTCCCTGCAACTACAGGAAGTGCTACACCTGCCCCCATACCTCCTCCCTCACCCCCATCCCAGGCCCCAAGAAGACTTTCCACATCAAGCAGATGTTCACCTGCACATCTGCCAATGTGGTATACTGCATCCGCTGTACCCGGTGTGGCTTCCTCTACATCGGGGAAACCAAGCGGAAGCTCGGGGACCGCTTTGCAGAACACCTATGCTCGGTTCACAATAAACAACTGCACCTCCCAGTCGCGAACCATTTCAACTTTCCCTCCCATTCCTCAGACGACATGTCCATTCTGGGCCTCCTGCAGTGCCACAACGATGCCACCCGAAGGTTGCAGCAACAGCAACTCATATTCCGCTTGGGAACCCTGCAGCCCAATGGTATCAATGTGGATTTCACAAGCTTCAAAATCTCCCCTCCCCCTACCGCATTCCAAAACCAGTCCAGCTCGTCCCCGCCTCCCTAACCTGCTCTTCCTCCCACCTATCCCCTCCTCCCACCTCAAGCCGCATCCCCATCTCCTACCGACTAACCTCATCCCGCCCCCTTGACCTGTCCGTCCTCCCTGGACTGACCTATCCCCTCCCTAACTCCCCACCTACACTCACCTTTACTGGCTCCATCCCCGCCTCTTCGACCTGTTTGTTTCCTCTTCACCTATCCTCTCCTCTATCCATCTTCTATCCGCCTCCCACTCTCTCCCTATTTATTTCAGAACCCCCTTCACCTCCCTGTTTTCTGATGAAGGGTCTCGGCCCGAAACGTCAGCCTTTCTGCTCCTATGATGCTGCTTGGCCTGCTGCGTTCATCCAGCCCTGCACCTTGTTGTCTCGGATTCTCCAGCATCTGCAGTTCCGACTATCTCTGAGTTTAAGTTTTGTTGAGTCTGTGGGCAGACTTGGTAAAAGAGGTGATGAAAAGGGAGAATAGTGGAGTGAGTTAGGCCACCTTGTCAATTATGTTCTGGGCATGAAGTCCATTGGGGATTTTCTTGAACTGTCACCAATTAAGGCCCTTAAGTCGTCGAATAAGACCACTTAAAGTCATCAATTTTCCACCTCCCTGATTTCCTGCTTTCCTGGTAGGTGAGAAAGGCAACTGGCTTCCAGATTAAGGAACTAGGTTTCCCTGTTGCCAGGTAAGGTGGTCTAAAGGTTTCCTCCTCATAAATCTTTTGGTAATTTTTTTTAAGTTCTGTCCAATCTTCTGACCTGCCCCCTATCTTTGCACAATTATATGTCTTTGCTTTAATATTATCTTTGACTTTTTCAGTTAACCATGGATGGCAGATTCATCCCTTCGCATTTTTCTAACTTGTTGGAATGTATCTCTTCTGGGAAATCCCCTTAAATGTTTTTGCCATTGCAACGCTATTGATTTATATCCCTTAACATGCATTTGGAATCCCATGAACAACAATCACAGTATCCTCATCAGTGCCCTTGAGAAGATGGTGGTGAGCTGTCTTCTTTAATTGCTGCAGTCCACTTGCTGTAGATTGACCCACAATGTCATTAGGGAGGGAATTAGGAAATACAGGGAGGAACTATTATCAAAAAACTCAACTGAATTAACACAAAAGCTGCCTTTATCAAATTCATGTTGGTTTTCTTTATTAATCCATGTTTGTTTGAGTAATTTAGTTTTGTCCCGACTTATTGTTCCAAAAAGCTCTTCTACCAAGGTTAATCTGACTGACTTGTGGTGGCTGGGCTTATTCTTACATCCCTGTTTGAACAAGGATGTAACCCTCACGGCTGTCTAGTCCCCTGGCATAACCCGGTATCAGAGGAGGATCAGAAGATTATGGCCAGAGTCTCTGCAATTTCATTTATGTCACTCATCTGTTCCTGGTGCCCTATCAACATTAAGTACAGCCAGCCTACCTAATATCTACTCTTTATTCATTTCTCGTCTATCTGATGTCTCAAACACCACTTCTTTCACAATAAGATACCAAGAACTGTAGATGTTGGAGTCAGAGTCAACACAGCGCGGAGCTGGATGAACACAGCAGTCAGGCAGCATAAGAGGAATAGGAAAGTCAATGTTTCAGGTAGGGATCCTTCTTCAGAAATGGAGAGAGGGAAAGGAGCTCAGAAATAAATAGAGAGAGGAGGAGTGGGTCTGGAGAAGATAGGTGGAATGAAATGTCTACCTTCCCCAGCCCCACCCATCCTCCCCCTTGCCTCCTTGACCTGACACAACTTGTTCATCTTCTTTCCCACCTATCCGCCCCACCTTTTCCACTGACCAATCCCCACCACCCCACACCTGCATCCACCTATCACCATCCCAGCTACCTTCTCCCAGCCCCACCCCTCCTCCCTCTATTTATTTCCCAGCTCCCTTCCCCCTCCCCAGTTCTGAAGAAGGGTCCCGACCCGAAACGTCGACTTTCCTACTCCTCTGATGCTTCCTGGCCTGCTGTGTTCCTCCACTTCTTGGGCAGCATCTTCTTCCTTAAGACAGATGCAAAGTATTAATTTAGTATCTCAACCAATACTCCTAATGGGTAAGTTTCTTTTTTGGTCCCTAATTGAATTCACTTATCCTTTTAACTATATAAATGCCTACAGTGCTCTTACATTGTCATTTATAGTAGCTACTGGTATCTTCTCAGACCCTGTCTTTGCTTCTCTTTCCCTGTGATGCTTCTATACACAACCTAGTTCTGAATTGTATGATCCACCTGACGTCCATCACATGCAAACTTTTTCCATTTCATCTTACTCTTTATCCCTTTTGAAATCCAGGGACTCTGGATTTCTTTACCAACCAGGGAAAGGTTGAGGCAGCGTTCCTAAACTGTGCCCCAACATTTCCTGTTTAAAGGCAGCTTAATGTTCTGTTACAGTTTTTCTGACAAATTCTTTGATTCCAATTTACCAAGGTCAGATCACCCTCTTAAAGGTGCCTCCTAAATGTTCCTGGGTGAGTTGGGGAGGAGGAAGGGTCATAGCCCAGATGTTGGGAGCGGGGAAAGCCACAAATTGGAAGTCGAAAGTGGGGAGAGGGCACAGCTTGGAGGTGCAGGAAGAGGAAAGATTACAAATCGGGAGTGAGGGAGACCACAGCACAGAGGGGACTAGCCACAACTCAGGGGTAAGGGAATAATTGAGCCTGCTACTTGGAGTTTAAGGAGTAGGGAAACACCACAACTGCGAAGCTGGGGAAGGGGGAAAGGCCATAACTCAGAGGTTGGGGAGGGGGAAAGGCCACAACTCTGAGATCCTGGAGAGAGAGAGGCTGCAACACAGAGGGCACTAATGGTGTTTCAGAGGCTGGGGCATGAAGAAGGCCGCATCGGGTATTGGAAGTTAGTAGACAACAAAACCCAGAGGTTGGGAAGCACCAGAAGCCGCAACATGGAGGACATGAAGGGGAGAGGCCCACTACCAAGTCAGATAGTGGGAAGGCGTCAATCAGGTCTGCAAGAAGCATGTTAAAATGAATCTCAATTCTCAACAAGAGAATAGCCTAAACAAAAACAGAAGTTTCTGGAAAAGCTCAGCAGGTCTGGCAGCATCTGTGAAGAAAAAATCAGAGTTAACGTTTTGGATCCGGTGACCCTTCCTCAGAACTGATGGTATCTGGGAAAATGTAGGTTCATATGCAGAAAATAGGGAGGGGGATGGAGTAGGGAGCGAACGATAGGATAGAGCCCGAAGAGAGAGAAGAGTAATTGGATAGACAAAGGAGTTGATAACAATCTGGCTAGGAGGGTGAATAGTTGTTAATGATAACTGTTAGTGACTAACAATAGATGGTGTGTAATGGCAGGCTATGTTAATACAAGGCCTGGTGTGTGGAGTAGGAGACCAGGACATGGGAGAGTTTAGGCCCTAAAATGATTGAACTCTTCGAGCTGTATCCCATCATTTACTCCCTACCCCATTCCCCTCCCTATTTTCTGTATATAAACTGACATTTTCCCAGCTACCATCAGTTCTGAGGAATGGTCACCGGACCCGAAACGTTAACTCGGATTTTTTCTTCACAGATGCTGCCAGACCTGCTGAGCATTTCCAGCAACTTCTGTTTTTGTTCCCGATTTACAGCATCTGCAGTTCTTTCGGTTTTCATCAAGAGAATAGGCCTCATTAACTTACACTATTAAAGCAAAACATAAAGAGGGTAACTTTAAGTAAGGATTTACTGTAATTAAATTATAATCCCTCAATGGTTCTTGCACTCCTCTGTAATTTCCTTGTGAATTTGTTTCTCTATATAACTTTTCTGCTGGTTTTTGGGCTATCATGTGCCCAGCCGTGAAATACCTCTTTTGTTTCTTAGCTGCAACCAAATCAATTCTGTCCTTGATGCCATGAGAACCATAGAACCAGAGAACCCCTACAGTGTGGAAACAGGCCCTTTGGCCCAACAATTCCATACTGATACTCAGAGCATCCCACCCAGACACATCCCGCATAACCCACCTAATCTACACATCCCTGATCACTACAGGCAATTTAGCACGGCCAATCCACCTAACCTGCACATCTTTGGACTGTGGGAGGAAACTGGAGGAAACCCATGCAGACACGTAGGACACCCTCTTTCTGGAATTCCCTCCCTAATGGCATTGTGTGTCAATCTACAGCAAGTGGACTGCAGCAGTTAAAGAAGGCAGCTCACCATCATCTTCTCAAGGGCATCTAGGGATGGGCAGTGAATGCTGGCCAGCCAGCAATGCCCATGCCCCACGAGTGAATAAACATTCTCCAGCACTGTCATATTCTCTTCAATCAATACTGCTACACCTTTTTTCCTTCTTCCTTCTCCTTCCAGAACACCTTTTATCCAGGAATATGTAGTATCCAGAATGTGTGGTATCCAGTCCTACTCTTCAAAAGTCGAATCTCCATATTGTCACAATATCATATTTCCACATGGCTATTTGTGCCTACCTTATTTACAACACTTCACTCATTTACCTAGTTGCACAATAACCCTAAGTTTGACATTATTGCATTCACTTCTAAATTGAACTTACCCACTCCCTTGCTATTTCCTACTGTAAAGCTAATCCTTACTAATTCTCCGCACACTTCGGTTTTCCTGTCTAATATTACCTCCTGGCTCTCACAACCTGCCTTACTAGTTCGGACCCTCTCTGATAGTGCTAGCAAACCACTCCATAAGAATGTTTGTACCAGTTCTGTTCAAATGCAACCTGTCTGGTCTGTACAAATCCCATCTTGCTCAGAACTGGTCCCTGTGTCCTAGGAAACTGAATCCTTTCCTCCTACATCATCTCTCCAGGCATGCATTCATCTGCTGTATTCCTCTGATGTCTAACTTCACTTGTGCGTAGTACTGGGGGTAACCAGAGATTATGACCTTTCGAGGCCCTGATTCCTGGCCTCTTTCCTAGCTCCCTAAAACCTGCCTGTGGGATCTCATCCCTCTTTCCACCAATGTTGTCAACACCAATATGGATCACGATTTCTGCCAGCTCATCCTCCCCTTAATCCTAAATGAGTGAACTTGTGTAGATGGTCACTGGTAACAATGGGTGTGAAGGTTGGGTTTCTGCCCTGAGAGCCGGTGATCTGTTGCTCCAGAAAAATATCAGGGGCAACAGTGTAGAGAAGTGACAAGAGCGCAGATAAGCTGAGTGGTTGAATCAAGTTATAGAAGCGAATCAAAGGATAGCACTGGTAGTGCTAGTGGGGCAGGGGAAGCAGATTTAGTAGGATCTGCTGTCTCAACTCATGTTGGATACTGGTCCCTCAGTCTCTTAGGAAGATGTTGCCTTGATCCAGTTTGGAAATAATCTTCTGGAGACCCGGCACGTGTTTATTACACCATTTTCCAGCAATCAACCAAACTTGGTGTGATATCAGTAATGTCTTGCTGCACATATTAATGCAGCTGGGCACTCTAGTTCCCCAGAACTCTGTAACTGTGCATTGACTCAAAAATATTTTATTTTTTTAATCTAGAAAAGAGCAAAGACATCTACCCAAGCAAAAGGTCAACTCATCAAACAGCCTAGCTCATGCAGATCAGGTTGGTACACCCTCCTTAGACCAGGAAGATTACTTGATGTTCATAGCACACAATGAATAATTTAGTTCCATAATTTAGGGGCACCAAAAGCAACAACATTTCCCAAATCCATTGAGGTAACCCTTCCACTAAAATAGCAGGTAAAGTAAACGTTGCAGATGTGAAAAACGTTACAGCATTGCAACCATTAAATCTCATCTAGCAGGTCTCACCTATAAACAAGACATTTTCATTTTACTTCCAATGGCTATCTTAACAAAAAAGGGCACACTGATCTGATCTTGGATTTGGCGTGATGGCTGTTCACACCGGCAGCCATACCCCAGGATCTGACTTGGTAATCATGCAAAACTAATCGAGGGGTCATCAGCTTCAGCTCACGCAATACAAAGAACAAAGAATAAAGAAAATTACAGCACAGGAACAGGCCCTTCGACCCTCCAAGCCTGCGCCAATCCAGATCCTCTATCTAAACCTGTCGCCTATTTTCCAAGGATCTGTATCCCTCTACTCCCTGCCCATTCATGTATCTGTCTAGATACATCTTAAATGATGCTATCGTGCCCGCCTCTACCACCTCCGCTGGCAACGCATTCCAGGCACCCACCACCCTCTGCGTAAAGAACTTCCCACGCATATCTCCCTTAAACTTTTCTCCTCTCACCTTGAAATCGTGACCCCTAGTAATTGAGTCCCCCACTCTGGGAAAAAGCTTCTTGCTCTCCACCCTGTCTATACCTGTCATGATTTTGTAGACCTCAATCAGGTCCCCCCTCAACCTCCGTCTTTCTAACGTAAATAATCCTAATCTACTCAACCTCTCTTCATAGCTAGCGCCCTCCATACCAGGCAACATCCTGGTGCACCCTCTCCAAAGCATCCACATCCTTTTGGTCATGTGGCGACCAGAACTGTACGTAGTATTCCAAATGTGGTTGAATCAAAGTCCTATACAACTGTAACATGACCTGCCAACTCTTGTACTCAATACCCCGTCCGATGAATGAAAGCATGCCGTATGCCTTCTTGACCACTCTATCCACCTGCGTTGCCACCTTCAATGGACCCAAACACCCAGATCTCTCTGTGCATCAATTTTCCCCAGGGTTTTTCCATTTACAGTATAGTTTGCTCTTGAATTGGATCTTCCAAAATACATCACCTCGCATTTGCCTGGATTGAACTCCATCTGCCATTTCTCCGCCCAACTCTCCAATCTATCTATATTCTGCTGCATTCTCCGACAGTCCCCTTCACTATCTGCTACTCCCCCAATCTTAGTGTCATCTGCTAACTTGCTAATCAGACCATCTATACCTTCCTCCAGATCATTTATGTATATCACAAACAACAGTGGTCTCAACACGGATCCCTGTGGAACACCACTGGTCACAGTTCTCCATTTTGAGAAACTCCCTTCCACTACAACTCTCTGTCTCCTGTTGCCCAGCCAGTTCTCTATCCATCTAGCTAGTACACCCTGGACCCCATGCGACTTCACTTTCTTCATCAGCCTACCATGGGGAACCTTATCAAACGCCTTACTGAAGTCCATGTATATGACATCTACAGCCCTTCCCTCATCTATCAACTTTGTCAATGTGGGAATGTCGTCCCTTCTAACCCACAAGAGGATTGCAAATAGTGGAAGACACAGAAGGATCCTAAGAAATTTGTAGGACAATTTGCTGAGATGTTAAAGACCAGCAAGATGTGTGTGATACACCCAAGAGCATAGCCATATGCGTAAGAAGGCACATGGAGAGTCTCGGCTGTGAAGAGGTTTCCTACAGAGAATAAGGCCCATAGTTAGCCATTCAAGGTCATGGCAGCAGATCTCCTGGCTGGAGTGACTACAAAGAGGACTGGAGGGGGAGTTGAATTAAATTTACGCTGCCTGCCAACCAGTTATTCTAGGACTGTTTCTCACTCTCATCAGGTAAGCCTGAAATGGCAGCACACAGCAGGAATGACGATGGCGTGATGGAACAAACCATCTCAGCTCAGAAACTGGGATGTGACACACCACAGGCAGCAGCAGGAGGAATGATCCGCTTTTTATTCAGGTGATCAATTTAGATTTCTGCGAGTGAACTGTTTGTAACGCTATCTCAAATCCAGCAACCTTGGGACCAGGGCTGTGCCAAAATGTGTTAATTCAAAATTGAACACCTTAGTACAATGAATAGAGAACGTAGGAAAACAAACTGAGAGGATCGCAAATTTAGCACTTTAGGTTAATGACCTTGTCACTGTTGATAATAATTCATATCTCGCACAATGATTTTAATAACTGTTTTGTGCTAGCCCCACTTCCATACATCAGCAAAACCTGCTCAAAATGAGAAAAGATTGATTTTAAAAAAGGCTAGTGTTAATGTTTCGAGTCCAATTACCCTTCTTCTGAACCCCTCAGTGGCCTCGAAATGCTAATTCTGTTTCTCTCACCACCAATGCTGCCAGACCTGCTGAGTTTCTCCAGCAATTTCTGTTTTTGTTTCCAATTTCCAGCTCTGCAGTTCTTTGTTTTATAAAAAACAACTAGTTTTTTGGACGTTAGTTTTTGAGTATCCAGATTTACTGCCCTTTCCCTCAATCATTTAAGGAAGCATTTTTACTATTTATGTGAGAGCCCTGGGCTGAGTGAACTGGTGTGCATGTTATCTCTCCTGGGTTTAATGGGAAGAATTTCTGTTTGCACTGTCTCTCACTGTGCCGTTTCCTGTAACAACTTATACCAAGTCCAGTCCAGGACCACTCAATATAAAATGCTCATTTTCTAATCTTTCCAGGCCGTTGTCCCTCCCCATGTCTGAGTAATCTTCTACAGGTTTACAGCCCTAACAATAATGCAGTCCTCCAACTCTGACATTGCAGTTAATATAAACTTAGTTCGAGCTTAGTATTTCTTTGAATGTAGTGTTGTGAGTTATAGTCAAAGAGTCATACAGCATTGAAACAGACCCTTTGGTCCAACCAGTCTACACTGACCATATTTCCAAACTAAACTAGACCCACCATATCCCTCCAAACCTTTCCTATTCATGAATTTATCCAAATGCCTTTTAAACATTGTAGCTGTGCCTGCATCTACCACAGCCTCTGGCAGTTCATTCCACACACGAACCACTCTCTGTGTAAAAATGTTGCCCCTCATGTCCTTTCTAAATTTTTCTCCTCTCATCTTAAAAATATGCGCCCTAGTTTTGAACTCCCCACCCTCGAGAAAAGACCCTTGTTATTCACCTTATCTACACCCCACATGATTTTATATTCTTCGATAAGGATACCCCTCAACCTCCCATGCTCCAGTGAAAAAAGTCCCAGACTTTCCAGTCTATTTTTATGTCTCAAACCCTCCATTCCTGACAACATACTGGTAAATCTTTTCTGAACCCACCCTAGTTTAATAATATCCTTCCCAATGTTTGCAATGAAGAAGTAGTCTAGATTGCGAGAATCTAAATGTTTTTATATTTCATTTCCAGTTTCATGGGTTGGCAGCTATCATGCAAACTGGTTCCCATTCCCACTCCTCCTGGTTTCATATCCCCTGGCAGACCTCCCTCCCCATTCACACTCCTCCTGATGTCCTGTCACCCTCACAGAGACCCCTCCCCATTGCCTCTCCTGGTTTCATATACACCATGAGAGACCCCTCCCCATTCCCACTGCTCCTGGTGTCCTGTCGCCCTCAGAGAGACCCCTCCCCATTCACACTCCTCCTGGGCACCTGGTCCCCTCACAGAGGACCCTCCCCATTCCTGTTGTCCTGTTTCACCCTGCCTCCCCACTCCAGTGAGATCCCTCCCCACTCACACTCCTCCTGGAGTCCTGTTCTCCTCACAGAGACCCCTCGCCATTCCCACTCCAGGTTTCCCTTCCTATTCCCACTCCTCCTGCTGTCCTGTCCACCTCAGAGACCCCTCCCCATTCCCACTCGCCTGGTGTCTTGTCTCCTTCACAGAGGGACCCCTCCCCATTCACACACCTCCTGGTGTCCTGTCCCCTCAGAGAGATCCCTCCCCATTCACACTCTTCCTGGTGTCATGTCCCTCTCAGAGAGACCACTCCCCATTAATGCTCCTTCTGGTCTCAAGTTGTTCTCTGAGACCCTCCATTAACACTCCTTCAGAAATGCTGTCCCCCTCAGAGAGACACCTTCCACTGCCCAGTCCTCCCAGTGTGCTGTTGGCCTTAGAGAGACCCTCTGTATTCGTGCCCCACCAGTTGTCTGGCATCAGAAAGCAGTCGCCATTTAACATTCCTCCCTGTGCCTTCTCCACTGAGACAGCACTCTCTCAAACCAACACAAGCCACTATCAAATACACCACTACCCCTCTCTGACTCACCGCATGCTCCATCACTCACCACATGCTCCATCCCTCACCGCATGCTCCATCTCTCACCACGTG